GACATGCTGGAAGATCGTTTTGATGCCCGTGTTGATGTTACTTCATGGTAAGATGTCATTCTTAGTGTTTTACTTTGATCTGAATCGTCTGCCGTTAGCTATGATAACTTTATGGAAACATACAATTTGGCCAATATTAAAGGTGTGAATGTGGCCATTGTTCGTTGGATCTTGTTGTCAACCCTCAAGAGTGCCGATGCTGCATGGAAATAGAGCAATGCCGTGGTAAAATGTATCAGTTCGAAATCGATGAAAGGAAATGCATTTTGGATCACCCTGGCTTTAACGAAGTTTGCCTGAACGAATTTGTTTTTCAAGCAGCTTCATTAGGTTTAAAGACCAAAGGTCATCGCATGATACAGACACTTCATTTTGTATTTCCTTTAAAAAAATTGTTAAAAAAATTGAGTTATACAACCTTTTAAATCTCTATTTGTATATAGTGTTATATTGTAAACAGCCGCGAGTTAAGACTATGACGTCACAAGCACCTTCCTTGAAAATTCAAATATGGCGCATTTTAATGGCGGCTCTTAAAGTTCAAGTTTTATCGCTACGTAACTCGAGCAGCATGAAATACATTGCGCTAAAATTTCGCCAGAAGAGATTTTTTTACATACACTATTAATCTATGAAAAAAAAACGAGAGGCAAAATTTTCGTCATAGTACCACTTTAAATAACAACACCCTTTCAAACGTCACTTCCTGCTCCCCATTCCGTCGAAAGCGGCAATTCATACGGTAGCCACAAAATATCAAACGGCAATCTTTACACTGTCAATGTGTCGCTAAGCTTTAATGCATAATCCCATGCGCATTACTTGTGTTTTTGACTGTTTGTTAACAGCTTGGTGCAACTGTCTTTCTTGAATAGATGGGTAAATCTTAGTTAAAATGTCCAAAAGGAGTTAGAAAAGTTAGCTTACCCTACGACTTAAGTCGACTGGAAATATATTATAAGTAGGTATGTATTTTTTGAGTTTTTTTTAGGATATTCGGACAGTTATGAAATATCTACTGAGAACTATTAAATTCTATAATCATGTTGCTGGTTCTGTTTTGAGCCAAGATATTAGAAACTGGATTGTAATTGACAACCATGGATCTACTACTGAACAGAACTATTCCCATTGAAAATACTATTTCTTAAATTAAAGTGCATTGGTTTCTCTGACATAACACTTTTCTTATTGCTGCATGAAGGCAAACCTGTTTAAATAATTATAATGTAGGTGAAGATATTTAGCATGTTGTATAGTTGTTATTATACAGACATTATTTATAATATTATGGCCTTGTGTAATGTATGTCAAGAACTTCTTAATTCTCAAAAATGCTAACCTTCTTGCACTACTTTTCTTTTGTGTCCTTACAAATTACAGTTACCTATACTAATTTTTTCTAGGTTCAAACAACTTGACAAATTTTTGAATTTTACATCATGCCTTTGAATTTTTCTTTTTGTCTTTTGGTAAAAATATCAGTGAATGACAAACAAGTTTATCTAAAATAGTATTTTGTACAAAGTAACTATACATAATTGGAAAAGTCTCATGTTGAAGGCAGATGTGGCTTCTTTTACTAGATTGCTATTCTTATTCTTTTAAATGATATCGTAATTCTTCAAAAGACATAAAAAGTTCTTTGCCATCAATTTTTGCTTCTTCCACATTCAACTTCATTGCAACCAATGCATCTTATGTGAATTTTTAATCACCTGGAATTGAAAAACGTATGGATTTTGTCAGATGATGCAGTACTGTATTTAATGTTTCATGCATGTCATGAGTTTTTCTTGAGCAAATATTTCAAGGTAGGAGCAAAATTTGGCACATTATTGAACAAAGTAGTTTTTATCTTGATTTTGATGTACTAACCTGTTTACTACACTGTGTAACAAACAATTCATTTACAGAAACACCAGATGGCATTTATAAAACTTTTAGCATAAAGCAAACCTTTACACACCATCATCATGATTGTCCATAATCTGTCAAATTGTCCAGGCTAGCTGTTTAATACAGGTATTTTTTATTATACGACATGTACCAAAGAGCTCATTAATTAATCCTGCACTGGATTTGATTTCAATACAGCTCTGTCCTTAATATTTGCTTCATATTTTCAGAAAAATATCATGAAAAAATCCTCCATTTTAACTCAGTTGAAACAAGGAGTTTTAAGATATGCATATCTCGATAAGAACTGGTTGCTTTTCCTCGTCTAGCAACCGATTAAGTAAAGAACAAATAAGACTGGATAAACATAACTTAAATTAAAACTTAGGAGTAAAAACATTCACAAAATATATACCATCACATTTCAAGTATTGACTTAAAACAAAACACTGAACACTTTAAATAGTAAACAATCTTACGTTGCTTAACGGTGTCATGAAATGTTTCCTTTTCTGGCATTACTTCAGCATCCGTATACCAAACAAGTTTGCAGCATGTTTTAAAGATAAAATTTCTAAAAGTTTTTGTGCTTGGCATTGATATGTGATATAATCGCAATTGTGGTTGTCAAATCCGGGTGGGCGAAAAAAATGTTATTTTATGAGCCCGCGTCTTTCCGCTGACTTTGACAACCAAAATCCGCCATGTTTTTGACCACGCGGCCGCGCGCTGATAATAGAGAGCTTAAGCAACTACGTTTTACTGGACGGCAACGGCAAGAGGAAGTTGTTTTTATTTCCGTTCAGCGTTGTATGTATTTCGTTTACGCCGTCGGGCCTCCGCGCCGACGTGAAAATACTTGTTTCAAGGTTGCCTCTAAAACCTCTCTAAAATTAATATGGCTGACAATTCAAAGAAAATGGAGTGGACAGATGAGCACGATTTATTGTTGATGAGAGAAATGATGGTTAGTGATCTGTTTCAATACAAAAAGGGAAGCCCCAATCGGGGATTAGTATGGGATTCTATTGTCGAAAACTTAAATAAAACGGAAGTGCCAGTCTTTACTTTAAAAGACAAGAGAAGTGTTCGAGACCGGTGGAGTCTTTGAAAAGCTAAGTTCAAGCAGAAGATGCGCGAAGAAGAAAGGGCAAGTGGCATTGATGTCGACGAACTGTCGGAGAAAGAAAGTTTGATTAAAGAGTTGTGCCAAAAAGAGGACAGCTTCCTTGAGGTAGCATCAGTTCAAAAGCAAAAGGAAAATGCAAATGTTATTGATATAAGGATGACAGCCTTGGAACGAATGGGCGAAACATGCAAGAGAAAATCTGATGGCAAAACTCAGATGTTAAGAAAGTACGCCGCGGAAGTTGTGAATTAGTCGAATATTTGAGAGAAAGATCAAGCAAGGAAATTGAAATCCGTCGTGCAGAACTAGAAGTAAAGCGAAATGAGCAAGAAATACAAAATCAATTGAGTACCCAAGCAGCTACACAACAAACAGAAGTCTTAAAAATGATGCAACAACAAAATCTAAAAATGATGGAGAGCCAAGCTTTACTTCTTCAGCAACAACAGCAATTGTCAACAGCATTTCTTGACATTATTTAGAGGTTCACAACCAAGTAAGATTGTGTTGTCACTTACAAGGAAAGAATTCTTAACTGTTGTGTTTTAGCAATCTGTGTAACTATGAACTTTTAATGTTTTGTTATTTGAATTATAATAACTTTCTCACTTACACTTGTCAGTATTTACATAACAAGTTACATACTTGCTAATTGTTTGTGTGTTTAATGAGTCATTTTGGCATTCATTAATTACTTATAAAGTAATTCTCCAAGGTTGGAGGATCTAACTGAAAAAACTTGGATGTTATATTTCCATACATGCAAGTGAGTGAATTTCTTAACAATGCACAGACAATATATGCGTTCCCAACACTACTTAGACCTATTTTGAGGGTTTTTTGAAGTCCATGAACCGGAATGAGTTGATCACATCTCCAAATAACCATTCCACAGACACTCTAACTGAACTCATTTGCTTGTTGAATTCTTTCATTCTGTCTGTGATTACCCCATGCCGAAAAGGAGCTTGTAGATGAATCCTCTGTGGATAAGCGGGATCCCATATATGCATAATGGTCTCCCATCCACAGAAAAAGCATTTTGTTCCAGGTCTTGAAGGAAGTTTGAGTCAGCCAGCATACCAGCATCATGTTTTTTTCCTTCTGTAATATAGAAAGTATTTGCCTGAGTTATAGACTGTTTTTGCTTGTACAATATAGTGTTTACAATATTTTCATTTAAATAATATAAGCATACCAACTGGACCAAAAATATGTGCAATCAAACCATTTGGCAATGCCACACCCTGGAACTTCAAAGAGTGAACTCTTTTATGCCCATTGTAAACAATTCGCTGATGTTTTGTTGGACGTGAAATTGGTCTGACCGTTCCATCAATAAAGCCAAAGCAATTTTCATAAGGTGCTCCTTTTTCATGGATGGCATTGGCATAAACCTGTAGATATTCTGGGCTTAAAAGATCATGGTTCCATTCTGTAATTTTTTGCTTATGATAATTATAAATAAAGTCAATGATGATATTTGCAATCATACACAACTCAGGAACTGGTCACCCAAATCTGCCAATCATGTCTGAAAATCGACAAGGGTAAGCAAGACGATTTAAAAGAATGCATAGCCCTTCCAGTCCTGAACATGTTGTCCTTTGTGGACACTTGACTATTTCAGGGATTCTAAGATTCTGTTGGAGGAAAATCAAACCGTGTTTGTTGGCTCGGAATTCTACTTTACATTCATCCTCACTTAGATTATCTAAACAAAATGCCTCATAATTTTTGAATGGAAGCTCTGGGTTCCTTGATTTATATGCCTTGTGCAATATGATCAATTCATATTCTGTAATGTAACCTTCTTCAAAAAGCACAAGACAAAAGTTTCGTATTGTTTTAAACGAAGACATGAAAAAGAGTTCACTTTCTACCGCCGCTTTCTATACGAACTTTGCTTAACTGTTTTAAAGATACGCGGGAACGTCATGCTCGTCCCAGTCTTCCGCGATTTCTCACGACGCCGTTGTCGGATAAAACGTTGTTGCTTAAGCTCTCTATTTTATAGTAATTTGGTTGACGTTTCCCCTCCAGGTCTTATAGAACTCAATGGATATAACAAGTCAATCAATTCAAAGGTATTGAAAGAATGGCGCACGTATGGGTCAACATAAAGATTCTTTTACCTTCTGTTTTCATTCTTCTCATAGTTTCCTTGAGACACACTTTCACCGACGATTCTCCATTATATAAATTTGTTTTGAAAGATATTCATGGTGATAATGTAAACATGGAAATTTACAAAGGAAAGGTAAACAACATAAAAATTACATACTCGAGACGTTCACTGTTTATTTTGTAAATTGGCTCGCAGCAAGCAATTTCCAAAAAATCATGTATGTAAATTTCATGGTTAAATAAAACTTCACGTGGCATTTACAAACAGTGCTCTCACAATCAAATTTCTTAGTTCCTTAGAAAATGCTTAAAAATTCCTCATATTTCCAATAAATTCCTTAAGTTTGTAAACATGAGCACAAGGCCTGATCACATAGGCTCAAAAAGTGTTTTTTTAATGGTGTTTCTTCCTTTTTTTGCTGTTTTCAAGTTTGTCAACGTTGTATTTGTAAAGAAACATTAAATAGTATTAAGTGTATGTTAATTTAAAGTATAAAAACATTCTTAAAAATATCCTCAAAACCTTTAGAAAATCCTAATTTTAGGGATAATTCCTTAAAAGTAAGAGGACTGTTTACAAATCCAATTTCCTTGAAATGTCGGCGACTTAGCCAATTTCTTACAATGCTAGATTTTAATTGGACAAACCAATATTTTAATAATGCATATTTTACTGTTCTAAGTTTCTAACCTACTGTCCACTCTGCTATAATGCATTTACACCAAATTGTACAAATGCATCAAAAAACATCATAAAACTTGAGTTTTATATCGTTTTTTTAATGCGTTTGCATAATAAGGATTGTTATTAATTTATTAGAGAATTGAAAAAAATCATTGGAATAAAACTTTCAAACAACGTTCATATGCTGGCATTGTCATGAAGTAAAACAACCCTAGGCCAAACTATCATGAAAGGGGTCAAATATAGGTACATGTGAAATATAGTTAAATTAATATCAATATTTTTGTTAAAATTTAGGTTTTGTTACTGGTCAATGTAGCAAGCAAATGTGGCTATACTGACAATCACTATATAGAGCTTGTCAAGATTCAAGCTCAATTTGCAACACAAGGTTTTACAGTCTTGGGATTTCCTTGTAATCAGTTTGGCCATCAAGAACCTCATGATGAAGTACAAATTTTAAAATTTGTGAAAAAAGAATACAATGTGAATTTTCCAATGTTTTCCAAAATTGATGTTGGAGGAGAACATGCTCATCCACTTTATGTCTTCCTATACAAGGCAACATATGATTACCCAAAATGGAACTTTGGAAAATATTTGATAGACAGAAATGGAAATCCTGTGAAATTCTTTTCTCAAAATGTTTCACCCAGTGCAATTGTACCATATATTGAATTGTTGATTGAGAATAAGACAGTACATTCTTATCATAATGATTTGTAGACTAAATCAGTAGAATTATAGTAATGCAAACTGAATTGATGTGGAAACACTTTAATGAAAAGAAAACACTTCTAATGAGTTGTTGAACAATCTCATTCATTAGGCATTCAATACTAGTTCTCTATGTGAATCAAACATCTATAGTAACTACAGCAAGATATTATACATGTTATCAAGACAAAATCACTACCAAATGTTGAAAGTTTTCCTGCAGAATTATTTTGTACATTTCAAGAATAAATGGATTTATATACTTTATTGTGCATTCATTTATTAATTATGTATTTTTTTCATTATTACATCTGCTTCATCATTCAACTAGAAAAAAACAAAGGATGAAAATTAAGATTAAATTTTCTAAAAAAAATTTCAATTCAATAATATGGATCACTCTTTAAATTCAAGTATTTGATGATAACAGCAAAGCTTTCAATTATGGTTCACACATGGCAGTCAACTGTGAGTGATTGATCCTGCATGCAAATATTTACTTAATTTGAAGGGACAATTTTTAAAACAATTGTTATTGTCAATAAAACTACTAGAAATTGAGGCCATATACATTGCACCATTAAAAAGACATTCTGATATTGTTTGAAGGTAAGCGTTTTGTCTTCTATGCCTTTGAGAAGTGGCAAAGCGAGGCTTCAGAAAATTGGCATATGATTGGGCTCGCAAATTTTTGAAAGTAAGAGGTGAGCAAGTGTCATTCATCAGAAGCGATTGACATTTAAAAAACATATGAACCATTTCCTTTTGGTTACAATTAGTATCAGAAGTATAGTTTCGGCAATATATCATTTGTAAATTATAAAAATACCTGAGTGAATTTGATATTTTCGAAAAATTCTTGTATAAACCTTCGCATGTGGAGTTTATAATTGTATAAAGCCATTTGCTCCATAACTTGATGGTACAGAAAAAGGTCCTCAAAAAATTGTGGTACACACTCTTTCCAACTAAATATACAAAAAAAAACACACAAATGTAATTAGGTACATAAAAACAAAACAACTTAACCAAGCAAAATCACAAATTCAATAAAATTCACCTTCTTAAGGACTCTTGATGAGATCTGGACGTTACTGCGCTACTCAAATTCATAACTAATCTTAATATTTCTCGTTTAATCAAAGCATGATCTTTCCCAGTGACTGCATCTAATTGTTTTCCTTTTAAGAACTTCTCTAAAATGCTTCCAGAAAATGAAGTAGTTTGGCTTTTACTTTTTGATGGATTACTTTTAGTTTCAACATTTTCTGTTTGAAGTGTCCCATCTTCTTCACATTCATCAAATGATAACTGCTTGCTACTTTTCGAACCACTAACACCCGAGGTATTCCTTTTTGACGAAGACTTAGTTAAATCGATCAATACGCTGTCTTTAGGAGACTTTATTTTACTAGTTAAATGGTTTCCTGACATATTGGATAGTGCAGCATTAAAGTTTGTCGCCCACGATCCTTTGAATGGTGATTCGGGAACCTATCATAAAAAGGTTAAGTCTTGATCATAAAAACATCCCGAATAATAGAAGGCAAACATAAATAAGCAGAAAAGCGGGAATAAATTATTAAAAGTGTTTCATAAAATATGAAAAATGTTCACGATGAATGGGCAAATAAGGAAGAGACAGAAAATATTATTACAATGTTAACTGCATGGTTGTGCGGGACTGCAGAAGTGGGAAAGCGCTCGGTGGCGGTCACCCCCATTCTACTTCAAAAATGGATGGTTCGTTCATTGCAGTTTTACTGAAATTTTTAATATGCCAAGCAGGTGACGTATTGCGCGATATTACGGCTTGTATAAGTCTATTCCAACTATAAAGGTACTATTCATTTAGAGGTTATGACATACAAGTCTAATGAATTATATTCTTTCATTTATCAATCATCTCAGTTATATGTTGTGAACATCTATGACGTCATACGATGACGTCACATCGTTTTTACGATTTCACTAGTTCACCCTCGTCAAGAGCCCGCCCCATCCTCTCAGGTAAAATTAGTTCTAACAGCACTGACTTGGCGTGAATTGTAGATTAATAATAGAATAGATTAAGCAGGTCGATAATCAGATAAGATGGCACTTCAAGTCAGAAAAAGATGGCAGCAAGCAATGGCAGTTAAAGCTGAACATTGATAAAAGATGTCGAACCCAAACAGTTCACATTAACATACCAGAAAAAAATGGTTGAGATCAATTGGCAATGTCAATCCCATTAATTCATTTCCTCGAGAAGAACTGACTGTCAATTTTCTACCATATTGATGATCCATTGGAGATGGAGTGGGTAAAGATGAAGAAACTGATCCTTGACTTTCACTAACAATATCCAACGATACAGGACGTGACACAGGAATAGGAGGACTAAAATACATAGTTTATATTATTTAATAACTCTGAAGTGAAGTGTGGATATTCCAGAAGTTGGATCAAACATGCACTAATGTACATGTTTCGGTGAAAAAAGGAAAAAACAATTACAAATGACGCTTGAATATAGTAACTGGACAGAAATGTCAGTTTGGTTATGATTTTTCAGAAATAAAATTGAAACTTAACAACAATTAGCACTTTTCACCTACCCTATAATTATTAGCTCTATATACTTACCCAACAATAGCTAGCAATACAAACCTACCTAATAATAATTGACTGTTTGTACTTTGTACTTACCCAACAATAGCAAATGATTGATTCATCCCACCAATTCGTGATTCAATATCTCGGTTAATGCTTCGCTTTTTGCGTAAATTACTCAAAGCTGAATAACCATAAGCATCACGAAAGGAAGTATAAGTTGGAAACACATCAGGATTATCAGTATCACCAGGAGATGTGGGACTTATCGGAACGGATTGAAGACTCCATATTGACATAGAAGTAGAACTTTTCTTTAATCGTCGAGCACGTGGAGCTAAGCTGGACGAGCTTGCACTACGTGAGTAAAAATTTCGTGGAAATTTCCTCGTAATTTCATCAACGGGCGTTTCAACATCACGACTAAGATCATTTCTCATGGACGCAATCTCGCCCAAACCTCCCTCGCATACACTCATTTCATCAAAATACGATCCACCAAATTCATCGATTTCATCATTCCTAGAAAGATTCTTTAAAACCAATGTCTTATTATCAAGTAACATTACTTCAGTGTTACTTCCCACCATTAGAGAACCTCTTTCTTGTACTGGCGAGCTCATAGAGTAATTGCTCAGACAAAATTGTCGATTTGCACGAACTGGATAACTTTTCATATCTTCGCTCATTCCAGAAAAACTGGCACTACGAGCTTCTGTTTTGATTGACAGTCGAGGGTCAGCAGAACTGCCTTTTTCATTCAGACTGGAACTTCGAGCACGGCTTAGTTCCAGTTGCTGTTTTTTCAATGTTTTTCAAAGTTTTATCCAATTCCAAATGCACTGGAATATTTTCTTCCAAACTTGAATGACTTCGATAGCTTCCGAAACTTTGTGAAGTTTCCATTGAGGAAATAGATCTGCAACTGGATTCACTCACTCCACTAGAACTACGCACGTGACGAACTTCATCACTCTCCCCCACAACACGTGACCCAGGAGTGCTGCTCAAAGGACTTGCACTTGATTGATCAGCCTCAGTCTTACCATCTTTTACTGAATTAAATATACAAATGTCATCTTTACTACATAAATAAGAGACCTCTCGCACACACGAACTCCCTTCCATGCCAAAAGCCAAAATGAATGTTGATTGAAAAAATATTTAGAGCTTGGAATAACAATTAAGCAATATCGTATTTTATCTGCCTACCTGGAACAGTGCTTTGGCTTTTAAGAATTCTACTAATGAGCGAGTTTTCCCCGAAGGATCCCTCATAGGGCGCAAGATTTATTGTCTTCAATTGATTATTGTGGTGACCACTGCTATCACTTTCAGGCGAATGTTTAGCAACGTTAGTTGCATTTATTGGATAGGACTCGCTTCGTGCCAATAATTTTGGACTGTTGTCTTGGCGAGCAGGAGTTGTTCTTCTTTTCATACCACGAGGGCTGTCATTTTCACTCCGCGATTTTCGTGAAGAGAAAGGTTTAGCCGGGGGCGGCATGAGATGTGCGGGAATTGAAACGTTTTTAATCCTCTCAAGTAAAGACGGGGTCTCACTCTTTGTTTCAACGTCTTCAGGAGATCCGCTAGAGCGTTCATCTTGAAATAAAAAACTATCATGTTCTTCCTCATAATAAGCCTGCTGCTGTTTTTCTTCCAGCATACTCATTAAAATTCCACTTCCTGTTCCTTCATCGTGTTTGGGTACTTTAGGAGCTTCTTCACCTAAATAAACGCCGCTGCTCTTGTCGTAGACATTGCTCAAGCGACGTTCTAAACCGAGATAAACACCACTGGCTTCGTCATACAAAGATTTATGACCATCCTCGGTTTCACTTTCTGATTTCCTCTGTTTGACACTCTCATCCACGCTCTGTAGGTAGTAATCTGAAAATTAAGATTGCTCATGATATCAGATTTTGTTCATTTACGTTTGCAATAAATGCATATCTCAAATAATAAGAACGTCGACAATTTCTGTTTTATTTCAAGCAAGATATATTATGACATGCAAACATGAAAATTCATAAATGACCCTTAAATATACAACACTTTTCAAAAGAAACGATGCTTTCTTTGACGAACGTTGTAAAAAATTTTACCAATGTGAAGAGTAACACAATGTTTAGAAGTTTAGACTGAACTTACTCAATGATCTGTCGAAATATATTTGAGTGAAAACGCAGTAAGAGAAAATTGTAGCACAAAATATTTAAAATTTTGCCAGTTTTTCTTAAACCAAGATTGCCAATGATTAAGGACTCCCCAGCAAGGAAATTAAACAACGATACTGACCTGTTACAGTAGACAGCGATGAAACAAACCACTTCGAGTAAGGCAGAGCTTCTTCTTTTACTTCAACGACAGGCCACAAGTCCAGTACTTTATGTCGAACGCTTTCCCAATTAAGTGTTTTCAGTATATCTACTCCTTGATGCGTCGTTGCAATTAAGCCAAGTACGTAAAAACACGTTCTGAAAAAACATAACAGACAACTTTAGCAAACGCCAAGTACGTAAAAACACGTTCTGAAAAAACATAATCGACAACTTTAGCAAACGCAAAGTACGTAAAAACAACTTCTGATAAAACATAATAGACAACTTTAGCAAACGCAAAGTACGTAAAAAGAAGTTCAGATAAAACATAATAGACAACTTTAGCAAACGCAAAGTACGTAAAAACAAGTTCTGCAAAACATAATAGACAACTTTAGCAAACGCAAAGTACGTAAAAAGAAGTTCTGATAAAACATAATAGACAACTTTAGCAAACGCAAAGTACGTAAAAACAACTTCTGATAAAACATAATAGACAACTTTAGCAAACGCAAAGTACGTAAAAACAAGTTCTGATAAAACATAATAGACAACTTTAGCAAACGCAAAGTACGTAAAACAACTTCTGATAAAACATAATAGACAACTTTAGCAAACGCCAAGTAAAAACAAGTTCTGATAAAACATAATAGACAACTTTAGCAAACGCCAAGTACGTAAAAACAACTCTGATAAAACATAATAGACAACTTTAGCAAACGCCAAGTACGTAAAAACAAGTTCTGATAAAACATAATAGACAACTTTAGCAAACGCCAAGTACGTAAAAACAACTTCTGATAAAACATAATAGACAATTTTAGCAAACGCAAAGTACGTAAAAACAACTTCTGATAAAACATAATAGACAACTTTAGCAAAAGCCAAGTACGTAAAAACAACTTCTGATAAAACATAATAGACAACTTTAGCAAAAGCCAAGTACGTAAAAACAACTTCTGATAAAACATAATAGACAACTTTAGCAAAAGCCAAGTACGTAAAAACAACTTCTGACAAAACATAATAGACAACTTTAGCAAACGCAAAGTACGCAAAAACACGTTCTGACAAAACATAATAGACAACTTTAGCAAACGCAAAGTACGTAAAAACACGTTCTGACAAAACATAATAGACAACTTTAGCAAAAGCCAAGTACGTAAAAACAACTTCTGATAAAACATAATAGACAACTTTAGCAAAAGCCAAGTACGTAAAACAACTTCTGATAAAATAATAGACAACTTTAGCAAAGCCAAGTACGTAAAAACAACTTCTGACAAAACATAATAGACAACTTTAGCAAAAGCCAAGTACGTAAAAACACGTTCTGATAAAACATAATAGACAACTTTAGCAAACGCCAAGTACGTAAAAACAACTTCACTTCTGATAAAACATAATAGACAACTTTAGCAAACGCAAAGTACGTAAAAACAAGATCTGATAAAACATAATAGACAAGTATAACAGTAAACTAACCCTTTTACTGTTAAAACACTACAGCAGTTGGCCATTTCTACAATCAAAGGGATTATGTTTTCGTCAAGGAGAATACTAAGACCCCAACTTGATGTTCCAATATGACCCTATATTAAAATATGCCAATGAACTTATATGACATTCACACAGTCTGCGACCAAGGATCAGAGAGCTTCTAAAGATGCATTAAGTACAATGATATTTAAAGAACAACGTACGTAATGTTTCTCTCTCAAGATATCATCACAGAAAGTGATAAAGTCTTTAAGTGTTGGCTTTTCAAAATATGTTCCAGAACTTGGCGCAAGGAATGATATTAATTATGTTAAATATTCAAGTTCATATAACTAAAGTTGGAAGATCATGCTTATGATTTGTGGTAGGTCAAATAAATTATAGAAAGCACATTTCAAATTTAAACAAAGACTAAAACACTCCCAATATGATTCGCTCTAAAGTATTTTCAAATTCGAGTTCAAATCTCGTCCAAGTCACATGTTTTTCATGTGCATATTAAAAACCATGTTAAGATTAATATATTATATATATTCTCTGATGATGACTTTGGGATAAAGTCGAAAGACGGTGCCATCCAGCAAACTGCTATAGTGGCGAGAATCTCTCGTCCATACGCAGTTTAAAAGAGATTTGACTCGTCTCCAGTCCCTGTGGGCTTGGTAGCTCAACAGGTAGAGCGGCGGGCTAGTATCCCGAACGTGCGAGTTCAAATCTCGTCCAAGTCACATGTTTTTCATGTGCATATTAAAAACCGTGTTAGGATTAATATATTATATATACTCTCTGATGATGGCTTTGGAATAACGTATTTTAAAATGAAAATATATTTTCAGCAATGTGACCTACCATGAACCTGCTACTGAGCATGGTCATTTCTATTTATAAAACATATCTCAACGGCAACTAAATAATCGTGCTGATGATTAAAATTCTTAAAAAATATTTCTATACACTCACCAGCGTCCAAAGAGCTGTTTTTACATTTAAAATATCACCAGTTTTTTCAAAATCGAACATCCGAACTGTGTTCACAAACTGTCCCACATATCCCTAAATTTTGTGAAGATTACAAATTTTAAAGTAGACAAAAATTAAGGAATTAAGTAGAGGAGAGAGCCAACTTGACATACAATTTCAACAAGGGAAATATACATTGGCTGATTATAATAGTCCAAGTAAACGTTATTAAAAATCTATGAATATTTATTGCGGACGCCAAATTCTTGCCATGACAACTATCATTGACTAAATTTTAAAATCTCTTTCAATAATACTTCAGGGTTTTTGAATCAATTTCAAAAATAGCGCTTTTCAAACGAATTTGTTGGTAAGATTTAAGTATCATGGTCAATCTATCATAAAACTGCTTTCTGCAGCAGCCAATCAGATACGACGTTCTGCCGCAACCAATCAGACACGACGTTCTGTTGGAGCCAATCAGACACGACGTTCTGCCGCAACCAATCAGACACGACGTTCTGCCGCAAAATGTACGTATATGAACAAAAAAAAAACATAAATGAATGATTTACCGTTTGACAGAGATATTCATAACCACTCTTTAACTTCACGATTTCCCCAAAGAAATGTGTAGGAACATAAACATGATGCTTTATATTCCTAAAGAATTTTTGACATATAAAAGACGAAAAGAACACTGCAGTTTGAAATCTAAAATGAAGTACTTTCTAGATGATTGTCTAACATATCCACCATCGTCATCTGTTGGTTTCTGATATGTTGTCAAAGCTTCAGCAAGAGCTTCTTCCACCCATTTCACATATTCACAACAATATTTCTAAATAAAACAAAAGAACCTCAAAAAAATTCTCTCGAAAATGAAATATTGAAGATCATTTCACCTCACGCCATAGTTCCATGAGTGAATGGACATAACCGAGTCCAGTTAAATATGTAAAACCTTTGTCTACTGATAAAAACCTACATCAGTGTACAAAAAATATCAATACATTACATCATCAATTCATATAGTATAATTTGTATAATTTGCACGCTCTCCCTCCAGGAAAATTCGAAAATACCACAGGCACCGTATGCTATAATTATATCATTATAGGCAGGACAACTTTACAGTAAGAATAAGACAGAAGGTAACTGATGATTTCAATATGCAACAGCCCAAAGCTACGGCTCACTAGCACATTCTTGTGCCCCCAATCCAAGAAAATATACATCCTTCCAGCATGATGAGCATAGATCTGCCATCTAGCAGTCCCGCTTCTAATATAGATGAAACTGCACAGTTCAAGCAGAACATTGTTGAAGCCTGTTCAATGTTTGCATTACATATGTGTTATCAACTTAAATATAATGAATGGCAAAGATAAGAAAGTACATAATCAAACCTAGTAAGTAATCGCCAGCCTTTCTCTCCAAGATGAAGCAAAGCAGGACGTAGTTGGACCAAATATTGAAGATTCGCCTGTGAAACGTTAACGAACAAAAAGAAACAATTTACATGACAACAATAAAAGACGGCCGAAATAATATATTCTTATGTTTTTATGTACATAGTTTATTCCATTTGAGAAAATAATCATAAAAATAAATTACCTCATCTTCGCTTGCTTCTTCTAATACATCAGCAGACTCCATTGCAATGTCATAATCGTGATCATACAACTTTAAAAAAAAAATTATATGTCATACGTATACGTACATGACGTAATCCACTTTTTAGCCAATCATAAACCTTTTTCAGACTACCTCTCATGAATTACTCACACTGTAGGAAAACATGAAAATGACATAATTATCTTGGAGTAAAGAATACAGGTATTCTTGGAGGTATAGTAAAGAATACAGGTATTCTTGGAGGTATAGTAAAGAATACAGGTATTCTTGGAGGTATAGTAAAGAATACAGGTATTCTTGGAGGTATAGTAAAGAATACAGGTATTCTTGGAGGTATAGTAAAGAATACAGGTATTCTTGGAGGTATAGTAAAGAATACAGGTATTCTTGGAGGTATAGTAAAGAATACAGGTATTCTTGGAGGTATTTAGCTAATTGGCAATCTTATTATAAATTTGTCCACTTTACCTGAGTAACCAAAAGTTCTATTCCCCAATTATTAAAAAACGCAACTTTCGCTCTCAATAATGCACGCAAAAATTTGGTAGCGTAAAGACGAACATTCTATAAAGAAAAAATTAAGAAAAATAGTGAAAAGTTTTGAAAAGTTGCACAGTAAAATAATTCTTCAGAGAGCAAAAGGCATACCTTCGTTGATGCAGTTAGAATCTTAGAAAGGATAATTCTACTGATTTCATTGCGTCTGTAGTCCAAACTGGCCAGTATTAGTTTCAGTAGACAGTCACGTGATTTCATTGACGCAAGGTCCAGATAGCTAAGCACCAATCATACAATCAACAATGAACATATTGAAAAATGGATGATGGATAAAGTTCGAGTTTCTGTTTTGCAAAACACTTATTGATAAAGAAAGATAAAACTATTTTGCTTTGTCCCCATATGCAATATAAAAGGTTTTTCGTTCTCTTAGTTTGTTGATGACATGCTCAAAATTCAAAGTAGACAGAACTTTACTCAGTCATGTGAAAATATTAAGAACTTACTGTTCATAGACTCTAGTCGAGCTCAAAATCTTATGACCTTCACTAGAACAAGACAGTCTTCCAAAAAAGACGAAATAATAACGACTGGCTGTCTTCATCAAACTTTCTTCACCAAGGATACCATTGTTTGCATCCTTTGTAGTCTAAAAACAACATGATGACAGAAAATAAAGGATGTATAGAAGTTCGTTAACAACAATCATAATATCAACCATTTCATTACAACAAGATAAACAAAACATGGCGATACGTGTGTTGTACCTTGGCAAGACATTCGGAAAATTCTCTAGCAAAATCCTCAATCATACGTTGACTTTCATACTAAATAGCACAAGAATAAAAAAAAATCTATTCGTTTCTAAAGAGGTAGTTTACAATGTATTTCATCAACCACTATTTGACAAGATACTATAGACCAATGTGCACCTGTACGAATGATAGAGACCGGAAATAATGATTCATAACATGTGCTTTTGTGGGTGGGACTTACAATATTTGCTAGAAGAAAATCGATCAGCAGAAGTCCAATTTCGGACAATTTCTTCGCCTTGACATCTTCAAACTCAACGGTACAAAATTGTTGACTACTTGGTTGATAGAAATATAGTAGATTACTGATGAAGCTGAAAATACAAAACATTTATTTAATGACAAAGCACAAACTCCTTCAAGCATATAGAAACGCCCATGTACCAACCTTATACATCCAATTTCTTCCAATTTACGAAGGTTCAGAGTAGGAGACTAAAATGTCAAGACCATATAATGATTGCATATTTTTTCAAGTTCTGAGAATGATGTCAAGAACCATCAAACAAATTTTATGATATCTTTCAAACCAAAGTGATAAAACATTTACGGCATCGAACGACGTCTCATATGCGGGTTTTAAGATGTTGAGCATGTGTAAATTTCTAACCAATCACAGGCAAGAATGTATAATAATTTTTTACCTGTAATACAGCAGCAATTACATCCCAGCTCAATATATCGCACTCGTTTGCAGAGCCCATCTAAAAACATTCAAGATACATATATTAGAAATAAAGCACCATAATTCAAAACATAATAAGAACTCAGATAAACTCCAGTAGAACACAAAAAAAAACTTAGAATATAGCGATAGAACAAATGATTGAATTTGTCTGTAACATGAGATGAAAAATAAATTTCTTACACTTAACTCTCGAATCATGTCTTCCTCATTGTCCTATATAAAATGATGTAATGAGGACAACTACAGAACGAACACATAATGACATCAACACACAATATTCTTTCGATTGGTTCATTCAAATTCATAATAGTAATTGAGAAATAATCCTTTACAAGACGACAATTTCATAAGATATAAAATAAAACATAATCCGAAAAAGGACATCTGTAAACTTAGATTCAAGTTATTAAACAAGACAATTAAAAGTGTAAAATTTCGGTTTTCAGACAAAATGATGAACGTCAGTCATTGTCTTGTATTGAATTTAAGTTTACAAGATGTCATTTTTCGGATTATGTTTTATTTTATATAATTGAGAAATAATAGAAGAATAATCATTTAAACGACAAGTTTCTTGCTTAAAAGCTTACATTTTCAGATCTAGAATATTTGAAGATGTTTTCCCTCTCGCGCTCTCGTTTCTTTTTATTTTTGCTGTCACTTGATTTTGATTGCTAAAAAGAAGCTCAAATTTTGATAAAATGCAAAAAATAACAATCTGCGTAGCTATACACTTAAATTCTTTATTCCAACATACGTACCATTGTTAAAAATTCCAAAAACAACGACTGAGGACTTAGCCTTCGTTTTTTCAACTGATGAAGTCTGTCAAGGCAATTCACAGCAGAGCTTGCCCGTCTAAAACACATGGAAATACTTAAAAAATGATAAATTATGTCATTTTAGTACAAATTTCCACGTAAATTTCCACGTAAACAAACTATTTGCAGTGAAAATAAACACAACTATTTCTTTATTTGATGTAATCATTTGAAAAGTTAAAACCAAGGTTTAAATGTACAAGTATTAAAGAAATGAACAAGTGTCTTTTCAAATTTTATAGCTGGTCACACGGATTGACAAAATTGTGAAATTAATACAACTTAAGCAACATGATTTTAAATATGATGTAACATGGATTACAAGATAACTGCGTAAAATAATTTCTACCCTCGCTCTTGACGAGTAACTTGAAATGATGTGGCAATATTCATTAAAGTAGGTAAACAATGCGTGTGACTGCTGCATTCAGGAGGTAAGAGAGTGTTGGCCTAAAACATAAAAAAAATTCACTTTTATTTGATAGAATAAGGATTTTTTGTCAAAACCTAACCCCCTTTCCCCTGTAGACAACAAGGAGGCATTCGCTAAATGAAAAAATAATGTTCTCCACATGTTTTGTCAGGAATCCGTCATTTTCATATCAATTCGATGTACGTAAGCTAACACTTTCAATGATTCATGTTAACAAAAAATGTGCCAAGATAAGCATTTTAATAGAAGATCGATCACCCTTGTGCATTGTATGAAATAAAGTAGCAACAGGAAGCTAGCGTAAAGATCCTATATAAGTCATTGACAAGGTTCATTATACATCCAGTAAAACTTATCAAAATTATCAAAAGTAATTTGAACACTCACCATATGAAGTAATTGACCTAAAACTATCGTAGCGCGAACGGAGACCAAATTCCCTGAAGTTGTAATCACTTGCACCAAACTCTTAAACAGTTAAAAAGACAAATGTCTTTTTCTTCAAAGTACTTTTTACTATATACAACAAAACGCGAAAAGAAAAAAGTAACAAACCTCAAATAATCCCGCTGTAACGAACGCAGAAAGAACAATAGCCGTATAATTTCTTAGAAGATCGACTCTGTAAAAAATACAGCAGTTAACTATAAAATGCTTCACAAGGAAATGCATTTGATATGAAATGAAATAAACATTTACACAGGTATAAAGATCTGCACTGTTAATTTTCGCAGATATTTCCTCAAAGGAGTCCTAAAATATAAACATTGCTCGGATAGGAAGATGTTAGCACACATGTCACAAACCTGCTGTTTGCACGAAAAGGTAACAAACTCCTCGCCTCTTCAGCAACAAACCCTTCTGACAATTTCCATGAATTTTTCATGCGTCGTGGATCTGTAGTTGACAGCAGAACAATATATGTTCATATTTGCTTTAATTTAAGATCGAATTTATGCATAATTTATGAGGATTATTACGAAATGGAAATTATAAAAACAATTCAATTTTTATACACCCTATATAATGTTCCCTTTTCCATTAATCGTCATTTCATTCGATCTTCTTATGACGGCACCACATGTTAAACCAAGTAATAAAGTACAATGAGGTACCTTGACTTACTATGAGTTAATGTACTAAATGTACAATGAGGTACCTCGATGTGTTATATTACGCACTGGTACAGTGATATACCTTGAGGTACTATGTGTTAAAGTGAATTTAGCTACAGTGAGCTACCTCGAAGTACAATATGTGATAAACTAAATGAACAATGGGGTACATCGAGGTACAATATGTGTTAATACAACATGTTAACTCACCAATATGTATAATAATATCAATATGTTAACTTACCAATACTTTTTAACGCAACAGCAAAATCGTCTGTCCATTCAGGAATTGGAAGTCTGAACACATCCATTAATACATCCATTATGTGGCGCTGTAATGGTAAAGAAATTTACTAAAAACAGTGCATGAATTAAATAATCTTCTGGTAAAACGATGTCACATAATCTCATTTTAACATACCTTAATTAGTTCATCAGGTATGCAAAATATCTGCAGTATTGATTGAAGTCCATTTCCATCGGGTTTGCATAAATATATTATTCCTATACAGAGAAGATATAAAAATGGAGACATCTAAATATTGGCCAATTGTTAAAATTGCAATGCCTGATCACTATATGCTTATACCATTGGTGTATTACTGTGCCAATTTTGCTGTTAGAAATTAAGTTAAATTCCCAGAAGCAGAAAAAATTGTGTATTTGTAGAAAAGATATGTAATAGTAGCATACTGATAACTATATTCTAGGAATATATTGGCTTAGCATTGACATTATAACAATTCGCTAAATTCATAAGATTCCTAATCTCATTTAATGTTGAAATAAAAAATTGAGTCAATAACTTCAAAGTTTTTTAAATGATAACATTTGATAGATCAAGCCATGAGAAAAATCTAAACTAAGCCACATTTTTAATCCTGATGTTATCCAATTCATTTTCAAATGATGAAAAGTGACTTTAGTTGACATATCAAACTTTTAGTTTATCAACTACACACTCGAAACGTATTTCTTGATTGAGAGTGATTATCATATCTGACATGACAGTTAACTCAAATTTCGTCGGAAGGGATTGTCTCATTTCATTTAAAAATTCCTGCCGCCCGCCATGTTTGAAATACACAACACGGAATGTAGTTCGTGTTTTTAGAGGGAGAAAACCGTCAAAATATTCGCAATTCGTTTTGAAGTGACGAAGGTGATTATGAAATCATAAGATACGTAATTGTAAACAGGAAAGCAATCTCATAATCTTTAAGTCTGTTTCTTCATAATCAGAACTGAAGAAACCCAAGGCAGCAATCATCTTTCTATTAGAAATTGGGACATTTCTGGTCATAATTATACAACACAAGGTAAATAGCAACAATCGATGACAAAGTAGTTACCTGGCCATGTTTTAAAAACAGTAGACATCGCCATTTTACTAGCCTGTAATCGCGACTCACGATCTTCCCTTAAAAAAACGTACAATAGCACAAATATTTGGAATGGCTACACGAAGGTAAAAAAGACAACATAAAGACACACATGGTACAACGATGCACCATCACATGGTACAAAGATGCACCATCACATGGTACAACGATGCACCATCACATGGTACAACGATGCACCATCACATGGTACAACGATGCACCATCGCATGGTACAAAGATGCACCATCAAATGGTACAAAGATGCACCATCAAATGGTACAACGATGCACCATCATATGGTACAAAGATGCACCATCATATGGTACAACGATGCACCATCACATGGTACAACGATGCACCATCACATGGTACAACGATGCACCATCATATGGTGCAACGATGCACCATCACATGGTACAACGATGCACCATCATATGGTGCAACGATGCACCATCAAATGGTACAACGATGCACCATCACATGGTACAACGGTGCACCATCACATGGTACAACGATGCACCATCACATGGTACAACGATGCACCATCACATGGTACAACGATGCACCATCACATGGTACAACGATGCCATCACATGGTCACCATCACATGGTACAACGATGCACCATCATATGGTACAACGATGCACACCACGATGCACAATGCACTAAACGATAAAAGTACATGTAAAATACGAACCTGATTTGAGATTCAGGAATTTCAGTACCATGATTATAATGCAGGTCAGTAAAAGGAGCCAAAATACCCTTGATAACAGATATAATACACATGTGCTTAATAAAGCGAACTTAACTAACATTAAATACTTTAGAAATTAAGAAAAATTATTTATGACACCTCCAAACCAACGTCCGGACGCACATAACATCTTGTAAGTGGAGAATTCATTAGAAATAACAAAGTCAATACAAGACATTCATTCATTCTATGCACCTAGTAATAACATATATATAATGTATTACATGTTACAAATGCTACATCTGAGACAAACTAATAAATGATTTTAACACATTTCTTATAAAGGCATTGGGAAGTTAGGAAACAATTCGTAATACAATTTTCTCTCCAAAATAAGGTTAAAAAGAAAGTCTAACATTCTAGGAAACTCAACATAGCGGTCAGCCATTGCTGAAAGATGAAGCGCTACGTAGTTTAATCATTTTGCCGGTACCTGAGAATCAAGAATACTGGTAATGATTGTGTTGATTCCTCCACAGTAGGACGCCACTTTAACATTACTCACAGCTAAAAAGTAAAAGATTAGTAAATTTACAAACAAAGACGAATACGGAGCGTATGTATATATGCAAAATAGCGTTCCCAAAATATTGCAACTTTTTTTATTTATACTACATACGCAGGAGCCAAATCGCGACATTGCTCATGAGTATTAAATGCACATTTAAATAGATGACCAAAAGACACACGCCACTGTCTTTCGAAGTGTTACAAAAATGACGCTTTTGCAGACAAATTTGTGGTTTTTCAAAGTATTGACAAATTTAGGATTTTTGATAGCGTAAGGCCATCATCACGAGATTATCAGAGGATCAAACGCCTTCACCAAAATATACATAAATAAGCAAGTATTACCAGCAAAAAGGACATAAACGATCAAGATGACAGGAATGTACGACCGTCATATATGAATCCAACATTTACTATACATGTACAATGTACAAATGTATGTATATAACACACCAAGTTCACACAACGTTGCCAAACAAGCTCGACTCAGTCTATCTTGTGGTTTACTCTTATCACCAGCTATTGCAACAAGACATTGTGCAAACGACATTGGAAACAGATGCGAACAAACTGCGACAACCTAGGACATTAACCGTACAAATATTTACCATTAACTGTGATAAAAGATTAACAATATTTACCATTAACTACACCATGATCAAATCAACACGCACATTCTACATTGCTTCTCTTCCCCAACCAAATAAATGATAGTACACTGTGCTCCTACCCCTACATTTTGCCTCAGCCACACTGTAACAGAAGATTAACGTATATACTGTGTCTCTTCCCTATAAGACGTTGTATTCTGGGCTCTACCCCTCGAGATAAAAGATTCTACATTTTGCCTCTGTCACACTGTAACAGAAGATTAACGTATAAACTGTGTCTCTTCCCTATAAGACGTTGTATTCTGGGCTCTACCCTCGAGATAAAAGATTCTACATTTTGCCTCTGCCACACTGTAACAGAAGATTAACGTATATACTGTGTCTCTTCCCTATAAGACGTTGTACTCTAGGCTCTACCTCTCGAAATAAAAGATTCTACGTTTTGCCCTCGCCCCAACGTAATAACGAATTTCACCTTTCGTACAAAACGCAAAGCTTGAACTCTCTCGACTTCAGAGTCTTGTTTTTTATCAAGACATCTATAAAGAAGAGATTTTACATTATTACACAATGGCAATCATCGATCTAAGCATGTGACTTAAAATAAACGAAAGAAAAAGTGCCACGACTATAAGACAACAAGTTTTGGTTACAATCAATTGCATTGCTAACGACTATACGAAAAGAAAAAAAAACTATGTTATGCCTATTGTCACCATTTTGTCGAGTACTTTCTCATTGAAACTAGCCCATTCACCTCGAAATTTTTTCATTACAACTCAAAAGCCCACAAAAAAAGGTGCAAATTAAATCGCCACAATGAAGACATCACTAAAACAAACTTGCTTAAAATTTGACAAATATTGCCTATACATTATTTCACATCGAATCCGTTGTAATGTAATCCGTTGCAATCAAAGAATGGAATGCTACATGAGTAAAAAGCATCACATGTGAAACTATCATGTTTACCTTACAATAAGAATATCAATTTTAAGTTTCATCATGAGGCTAAACGAGTTTTCGTCAGTAAAAAGATAACGCAAAGCCCTCACAGAAGCGGCTCTCACTTCTTTCGAATTGTTAAAAACTGCAACACGTAAACTAGAAAGATCAAAAGAAAGATAGTCGTGTCGTGTTAAAATTATGTAAATATTTGTTCTATAGTCACAATGTTTCTCACCATATTATGATTTCCTCCTGAGAAAATCCAAAATCTGTACCAACAGCAGAGCTTTGAATTAACTAGCAAATAAAATTTGCAATGCTCAAGTTTGAGAAACATATTAATTGGGTATGTAGCTACATAAGCCTGTTTTCGGCTGCCAAATATCTGGACTACATTTTCACCAATAATGATTGTAAAATCGTACCTAAAGTCGATCACTAACATCAATGTTGACATTTATGCTCTAAAAATATCCTTAGTATTTTAACTATATTATAGTAAAATATCAATCAAGTGTTTCTAATTCCCCATAAAATTTTTTCCTTTACTTCAAAGTAATATATTACTAAGTCAGGTTAGGTTATTCAAAACGTATAAATGTAAAACTGAAAGAATGAAAAAGTGCATGTAACTTAATAGAAACAAGAAAAATTCCTAAAAAGAACGCATTCCTTCAATCATAAAATTAAACAAAATAAGTGAGTTTTGTGTCCTTGATTTGCAAAAGGAAAAAGGAAAAATAAAGGAAAAAGTTGCTAATAAAGATAAAACTGACTTCGCCTTATAAAATTTCCTGATCCAATTCATTGCGAAAAGTTTGGAAGTCAAACGAGGAACTCCAGCAATAATTTTGGACTGAAAACGAGTATAAAGTTTACCTTTGTAAAATTATTTACATAACCCATTTTCTTGTCAGCACTCATTTTACTACGAGTAGTGATTTCTTTCAACACAAACTGCATATTTTCTTTTGGATCTAGGAAACATACGTGCGGTCGTATTCAGTGTTGTTGAAAAGCGCAGACATTGAGAATATTCAGTGACTATTTGTTTATGAAAGGTGTCGTGTTGTTAGTGCGAGTTTAAAAAAAGCACAAGTTTTTATTGACATCATTCATTTTTCAGAACTCGTTGAACTTTCTACCAAAAAATGTATACAGATGGCAAATTGAAACGATAAGAAAATCACTCATATTTTAATAAAACAACTCTGTACAGCTCATAGAGTGATTTTACCAATAACGACAATAAGTAAAAGCACCATGATATAAGAAGTCACGAAACTAAAAGCAATTTTACATCCTTTCGTAAATAGAAATTTTATTAATTAATACCGCAGATTTTAGTATTACGCATGTTTTTTAATTGCTCTGTTGTTTCATTTATTTACAAATATCCGAAAATTTTTGAAAGACATGAGAAGTCCCAAAATTAATTGTATCCAGTATCAGCCAACAATCAGCCAAAATGAAGCTTCATGTAGCAGTTTTACATAAACACAAGACGTTATCAAATCTCTATAAAACAGCAATCTTCCTAACTTTAATTTGCAATGAAAGTCTCTCCAGGTTAATGGTTGCCTAAATTGAATGGTGTTTTCAAAAATTTTCAACAATGTGCTGTAAAACTTGAAGATCCCTTAATGCTACTATTTAATCAGTATGTACCCTCCCCATTCATGTCTCCATAAATCATAGCAGTTGTTGATAAAATTTATGGCTGCATAACCAATTGTTTGTATTTTAATGAAATAAACATGTTCATTTTCAACATATTTTTTAAAACTCATAAATCACACTTTTAGTGTGAAAATTTTAAACCTTTTTTTATGTCCAACGGCAATGCTTCATCTTCACAAACAACACCTGAAATCAAAGAAATCATTTCACATTTTCATTTTAAACACAATTATGCTCAGATTGTCCATTTTAAATGTCAGATTTTTGGCTTTAAAGCTTTCTTTTCAACAACCAATTCAGTGGATGACATTTTTCAAGAAAAACAGTTGCAAAAAAACATAAATTGAAAGAAGAGCAATATGTGAATAAAAGTACACAGGGTTCAAAACAGCCCAGTTATTTTTTATTTTAAAGCAAAGGGAATTGTCAAAAATATGTATTTTGTGATGATTCACTTGAAAATGTAATCAACAGTAATATAAATATTCTTGTGACATGAAATTTGTTCATTTGTTTTGTATCAGTTCTTCTTAGTGTTAGGATAATGTTGGTTTATCTCACTAATTTTTTACCTATAATCTTAAAATAGCCACAAAAGTTTTGTTCGACAAGAATAGCCTACAAAAAACCACTGTACTGTTGACATATTAAGTTTTTAATGACATTGACTGATGCATTTTAATTTTTAAATTTAGAGTGCTTTGTTTTGAAAAACAGAATCATTATATAGCCAGTAATGAAAGGTTTCAGATTTATATTTCATGTCATTTTCTATCAGTTACAAGCTCATTAGTTCCACAAGCCAAACATGCTATAATTAAACTGTCACCTACACTTAAAATAAGCTAAAAACAATCTTTGTGTAATAGTTATCAAAAATGAACATAGGTTAATAATTGATTTTGGCTTGTAATACCATTTCATTGGAGATACATTTCTACATATCACAGAAAACATAGAGCAACTGATTAGAATCAGACCTTTTACATCAATCATCATTAACCTTTGCTGTGAAAAAAACCAAATTAATGTACAAGAGATTTTATCAATATAGTAATGTCATTAGCACTGAAATTACTCTCATTCACAGGACGGATCATGCAAGTTCAACAACTACAACAATATCTATCAATTACAAAAAATGCTAAATATCCAAGTATTGAATACCTTGTTGGTCATGTTATAGATATAATTATATCTGCATTAATAATGATACAAAAACGTAATTTTCAATATTTAAGAATTTTCAAAGCATTTATTTTGAATTTCGATAGAAGTAATCGTCAAAAATGCTCAAAAATAAAGTCTCACATTTAGCTACAGCCTTTAAGTCCTCATTTGGTATATTTTTTAATAAATTTGATGCTTCGGCAGCCAAGCAAAACAACACAATGCTAAATAATAATGATTGCTGGATCCAATAACAAGGAAAGCTAATTAGTGAGACAGAGTTAGGCACTTCGACATAGTGCAACCGCACAGAATTTGACAGAAACACTTCAGTTTATCAATCATCAATCCACCAAAGACAATAGATTATCGTAAACTGCAGAGCTATCCAATCTGGATTTACACAAAAACTTTGGCCTGTAATAAATATAATCTTGTAAGACTTAGTGACTTACCACTTTGCCCACGATAACGTCTGCGTGCCATGACGATTGTTGCGGAATAATAGGATGGAAATGATTCGTGTTTGTCTGAAAACTGTTTTCTAGACCTCGATAAATAGACACAAGTGATTAACAAATAATTGCTTGCTTTTATACACAGTGCACAAGAGTATAGCCGCTGACAATAACTTTATATAATTTCTCTTTAAAACGCAGGCTCACTTGAGACTAAATCCAAGTATTTCTTTACTCAGGTTTATTGACGGATGTAAGATGGAAAATAAGTATGATCCAACAATCCGAATAAGCAAGAAAGCTCCTAGTATTTTGGATAGGCCTTTAAACAAAGGACGAAATGAGGTACAAATTCATGCGATATTTTAAATATTTCTCATTTGATGAGCTTGTTCTGTTGCTGTTGGACAAAATAATTGTAGTGTAGGATCAGTCAAGGATCACTGTAATATGTTGGAAAGTATGAAATATTCCACTTTAGGAATAAAAAAAGAAGTCTTGTAAAAGTAATGAGGCCAGCACCTTTAAGGCAATAAGCATCAAAAATCCTTGAGAGAAATAGCTCATTTAGAGAACAGTGTTCCATATTTAACTGGCTATCCTTGCCTTCCTCCAAGAACTTCACCATAAACATAACATGGCACATTATTCTTTTATGTGTAAATTTCTACCTTAATATCATGAATTTTAGTGTGGCAAACAGCAACTTAATTGTCATTGTCATGAAAGGTTTCATCTCTTTGTCAATAATTTAAAGATATGACAAGTTTCTTGTTGACTTTAAACTTTAGTTTAATGCAGCTATTTTTGTTTGCTATACTTTTCATGGTGTTTAAGTGAGCATTATCTTATGTAATTTATAGGTTCACATCAGTTCATTTGCTTTGCTCTTCTCCGAGATTGTCCAATATTCTCAAAACCGAGTCACCACTGTTGCTGATTTGCAAACAAAGTAAGAATCCAAATCACAATTTTGATTCTTGGAATTAATGATTAAAATCATTCTCATATTTTTCATGAAAAGATAAGATAAACATACTATCAAAGCCAAATGTGGTGTTTATAGGCTTTCAGATTTGGGAAAAAGTATAGGATCAAGAATACTTGATGTGCTAGTTTTGCGTGAAAAGGGACACAAACGAGAGACAAGAATTATCAATGTTCTTTTATTGATCAAGACCAATGTATGGAAAGTAAGTTAGTGGCTATAGTAACCAATTTCAACATTGTCTTGGCATTATTTAGTTATAATCTTTCTTGATAGTCACTATTTGGGAAAGAGGCTGACAAACTGGAGCAATCCAATGATGATGACAAGACATGTATCCTTAATGGAATGTATTCAGTCAGCAAGCTTAACTTAAAATGAGGGCATGTTTTGCATGCAACATCATTATAGCAATGCACTAGCCAGAAATCTTTCCTTAATCAAACATTCATAGATTACATAATTGAAAAAGAACCTTTGGTTAATAAATTTATATCACGACAAAAAGACAAAGGTAAGTATTAGCTAATGAATGATTTACTTCATCAGTTGCAGTTCCACTAAAATAACATTTAACTTTGACTCTGTATCCCAAAATTATTTTTTTCCATGCTCATTAAAATGTGCCATATATTTTCATTACATTATTTATTTATGTTTGAAACATATTGAATTCAAGACTTAAGTATAATATATAACTAATAGTCATTTGTATTGCTGAATTATATGTCGATTATCTGCAGGTGGATTGAATTGTGCATTTTTTATTGCTGGAATTGTTGAAGAGATTTTGCAAGGATGCAATTTTGTATGTATATTTATACTTCTATGCCCCCATATGTGTGTACCAAGATGAAACTAGCAATTTTCACCCAAACCTCAAGTATCAAATCTTTTGGTGATGATTATCATATAATTTTTCAGCCCTGTACTGTGACTGCACATTGGCACAAAGGAACAACATTTATGATTCAGTTTGATGAAACAGTTATTGCTCGGGACAAAGCATTTGATGCAAGATGAGACAAAGTATATTTGGTGAAAAGAATGACGATTGATAACGCTGCAATACTGTATTTGTACCGCAGTAAAGTAATTGAAGCACATAAAATTTTCTCAATTAAGCACCTTGAAAATTTTCTTGTTACACATTTTACACACGATGAATCAACTTGAACATTGATGTGAATATGGGGTTAAATTGGTTGTAGAACATTACTATAGTTACAGGATTAACTTACATACTATAACATTTCTGTAAATACGTAGATTACCGATGATTTATTGGAAAATTATGTAGTTACATGATTGACGTACAACAACACTTGCTGTGATAGTGTGATTAAAACATTAATAAGCAGGATTTGCAAGGACTAAACTTGAAATTTTGAAATCATTTTACTACAAAATAAAATTTGTATTTTAGTTAATTTTGAAAAATCGTTAGAACCGAAACGTGCATGTCTTTCTGCAAAACAGTCTTGAGCGTTCGATCTCATGAGTAAAAAGTAATCTATTTTTGTTTTTTCTAATCCATAGGCCAGTAGGGCTCAAAAGCAATTGTCGATAGTCTCAATTGTGCAGAAAATTGTATATATTTGAAGTGAAAAATAAGTTGAGTCCTTTTTTCAACCGCACGTAGCGACTTATAACTTGAAATTCACCTTGCGGAGAAACCAATAGTAAAGGCCAAAAGTTAAGAATGAATCCACTGCAACACCAGCTCCAAAGAGAAAAGTAATGCTCAATAATGACGGATGAAACACTTTCGTTTCAAACAAAACGAAAGCGGTGCCATTCACCATTATATTTGTTATAATTGACTGTATCGCTAACATTTGAGTTTCACCTTTTCCATAAAAGACACTGTCCATTAAAGTATTCACCATATACAACATATAGAATGGAGCAATAATGGCAGCAACTTCAAACACACTTTTTGTATCATTGATATTGAGAACGGATTTAAAAAAAAAATTCCACCCAGGAATAGTGACACACCATAAGAAAGCAATGCACGCTGCAATGAAGTAGTAAGCTAATGTCTTGATGCGGTGATCAATTTCACCATCGATATTCGATGTATCTTGGATTAAAGCTTTGGAAAGTGATAGATATGGTAAAAGAAGCCATGACCAAACAAAAGAGTTGGCTAACCAATAGATTCCTTGCTTCTCCACCACATTGAGCATTCTAATAACCATAAGAAGATAAGCCATGTTTCTTATAAATGCATCTGCACCAGAAAATATACCCACACCAGACCAGCAACGCAGCCAAGCAAAATTTGGCCACGTTAGGCGACAGCCATAGGCCTTGAAAAATACAGCCATGGCGTAAATGAAAGTTATCGTGGATGTTGCAATGTTTGTGCAGGCTATACCATTAACGCCGAGTTTGAGAGAAAAACTATTGGATTCACTTAGAAAGAATGTGTCAAGAATGATGGACAAGGCCATCCTTATTATAAGGATCATATAAATATGCAGCTGTGCATTTAGGAGAACAAACACGACCATGAAAAATTCAACCAAATTGAAGATGACTAACCCGATTAATTCAAGGCGTACATAGGTGACCGTCTGATTAATCAGCTTCTTATCTTGGGCTAACCATTTGGAAAGGGGATCTGCAGCGTAAGCGATAATTCCTGCAGTACATAAGTATATCAAAAAAGTGACCAACAATCCACTTCTCACTTTGTTTTGAGTTTCGCGAGCAATGTTTATTGTTTGCCCGATACAGAAGTACAAAGGCTTGACTAATCCCTCTTGTATTACTTCTAGAATAGCAGTCACCCACATAAGTTGTGAAGCTACATTCAAACTACTAGCGTTAGGCAACTGCCCCAGATAATGAATACGAACTGTCGTGTAAATCGTGGGAAGGGCGTCTGTCAGAAACAGGGCAAAATATAAACGATAGTTGAAGCGTAGGATTGATGTTTTCAGCGCTTCCCATGGAGTAAGATCTGTAAAACGGAAAAAATAAACATTTGCTTTTGTCCAAATTTATCTACAGTAGGACTAAAACCGTGGACTATCTACGTTACTGTGTTTGCATCATTGATCATCATTTCCTTGCTAAACATAGTGCCAAATTCACGGAAAAATGACCGAGATGATGATTGCTATGACTGCATTTTATAGTTTAGTATGTGTAAAGTTAGATCTCTTAACTTACATAATTTGATTCAGCATTAACAATGCAATTCTAAATCATTAATTCATTATGAAATCCATGTAGTGTCCAACATGCTTTAAGTTGATGATATTTCGTACATATTGTTTTCTGCTGAAGTATACATGTGAACGAAAAATCATCAACTGAGATCATTTCAACAAAGTATTATAGTATAGTTAATTTGTAAATATCGTTGAGTATGTCATGTTATTTTAGACCAATATCTACCCTACTTCTATATAAACTCTTTTGACCATACTATTTCCTTTTACTTTGACCAACATGATATGAAATTTTTAAAGATTAATTTTATTGGTTGACAGTTGTGGTGAAGCCAGATCACAATTTAGACCTACTATTTAGAGCTGTATTAAATTTCTAGCACCTATTCCCATGGTGCTGGAAATTTAATATGAAGGGAGCAAATGTCCTGTCAGAAGTGAGGAAATTACATTTTTTCAAAAAAATGTAGCTCATGTCCATCTTGTTTTCATTTTTTCTACTTATATTGGAAAAATGGGGGGATTTTATTGTTTATGGTTGTTGACAAAGAAAATATTTTGTCTGCCAAGAAACAACTGTTATAATCATGGATGAAATGTGACAAGTAAATTGTGCGAAACAAAAATTAAGACATAATGCAATCAATGATTACAAAGATGCTTTGCTATACCATTTTCATTAGACATCACATGATCCCTTCCATCAGAAGATGTAAGCACTTCAGTTTCTGTGAAATAAATCAATTGTTAAAATAGTATGAAAACTACATCATCCAAATTCTACAGGTACTACATAGTATTTTTTAGTAAACTGAACTTCATTATAAAACTGATATAAGATAGTGATACCCCAGTAGCACAATTACGTTGTGACAACGTGGCAGTAACGTTCATATTGTACGTTGAGAGAACGTTTTTTTGTGGACTCGCAGGAACGTAAATAAAACGTCGGGACTGACAACGTTGTATAGACGTTACTTTAACGTGGAATAATTACCAGGTGCAAACGTTGAAGTCTAACGTTGAGACAAAAAGTCAACAAAGGTTGTTTGAATACATTTGCTGTTTAGTTTTAAAATTTGATAAAGCTTTCAATTTAGTCAAAATCGCCAGAAATTTTTTAGTTTCATGTGTCTGTGGCAATTTCCTTTTACAGATGTTGAATGCTATGTTCTTGACTTGCTATTCAAATAACACATTGTTATCAAATGTAGCAATTAAACTCAAAACTTGCCCTCTCTTGGAGTTGGAGCTTTCTTGGAAAGGGTCAATACTTTGGCATTCAATTCTTTCGAACTCAAGTTTTCGCTCATGATCTTTCTGTATTCATCTTTTGACACACAACCTTCATTCTCTTGTTCCCTTTCGTTTTTGCTCATCATTTTAAAGTAAGATGAATCCATGTCCATCGAAGTTCTATTCGGTATAAAACGATCACCAGAAGGCGTTTTGGGAGTTTTTTGTTTGCCTGGCGTTTTCTTATTTGGCGTTCGTGAAGGTGTTTTACTGGTGCTTCGGTTGACGAATCTATTTGGTGTCAATGCTTTTGCTGATTGTTCACAAAATTCGTCTTCAGTTTTGCGCTGCCATCTTGGTTGTGGTTCATTTTTTATTGCACTGTCCATCAGGGGCGGATCTAGAGTATGTCAAATCCGTCGCGCGACTGATGTTTAAAATTCAAAAATTACCAATTCATAATAATTAAAAATGCATTAATTATTCTAAATTTCTTATCGCATTTACTTCGTGATAAAAATCCAGCTTTATTTATTATTGAAAACTAATGATAAATGCAAAGAATATCTCGTCAGTAATCAGATACGTTGAATTTTAATTGACCTGGAATAACCGACTGATAAGCGGGGTGGCTTGACTGGTTCGACGGATAAAGGAGTCTATGAACGCCAAAAACGCTTATTTTATTGGTCAATGGCCAGATCAGTGGACAGTCTGGAATGGTCTCGACTGATAATAGGGGTGGCCGGACGTATAAGGGAGTCCAATTGCTATCTTACAATTGGTTTATTTGAATTTTTGTTTTATTGTGATTGGTTTGACGGATTTCGACTGATAGTCAACTGAACTAACATAGTCAAGCTCACTGTCTGAATTGAATATTTGATCGTTTCATAGTAATTTTTATAAGCATGATAGAAACTAAACTACAATCAGATGGAATTTATGGAAATCTTTTACAAATTGATATATTGACATGAATGCTGCTGTCCAAACTGTGAATTTTTTCAAGAGGGTGAAGAAATTTATGGATAAATTGTAAATGCTTGGCAAAGACGATCGTGCGAGCGACATTTTAGTCATTGATGTTCAAAAGAAAGCCAACATTGTTTTGAGTTTTATCTGCAGAAATTCACATCCAAAATCGTAAGTAAAGGACAAGTGAAGTGTATGCATGAATGTTATATATCAAAGTCAATTTAAGCAAGTGTGTTTATGTCAATATAGCGTATGGTAAGCAGATTGATGCTTCTAAAATTGTTGTTGACGAAGGACTTTTAGGTATGATTTCTTTAGTGCTTGGGGAATCGTTACTGTTATATGGCAGCGAAATCCTACATTCCTGCAAATATATTTCATTGGACAAAAAATCTGTAGCCATAAGGCGCCATACTATTATTTACTTTATCATATACAAATGTTTGGGGCTTTTCAGTTTATGATCATTGATCATTCAATCATTGGACAGTTATACTTCATATTGTTTTAGATTTGAGAAAACTAACATTGATTACATGAGAAGCTGTTTACTATAACCTGTGACTTTGAGTCTTCTAATCCATGAAGCTTTTTATTTTGACAATTGCTATTAAACCTGAGTATTTCACATACATGAGATGTTGTCCTGTGTCACATATTGTCCCCTTTTCTAACTGAACACCTCATGTAGAGATGTAAAAGTGTGTTAATCTACGGCTCATACCAGATTGTTTGCCATAAATTCCAAAATGCTATTGATGTATGAAAAGCATTTTCTATAAAGTAAAAATGTCCTTCTATGTATGCAGATAAACCTTGAAATTTGGCAAAACAGCAAAGTATTTTTCATGATCACTAGGTAATTTTTCAGATGATCATTATAATTTCTAAACTAAGTTATTTCAGATTTACATTTAAACGAGCTTTGATCATATGAAAAGATATTTATCATAACCAGTAAGCATGACACATGAACCAATTTTAACATTCATGTAATTATATAATTAAAGACATGTTGGTTACATTCTGTTTGTATTTGCAAATACAATGCTACTAGTGATTGCTATATAGCACACCTTGCATATACTTACAGGAGATAATAGTCTAGTGAAATGCCTAATAAACATTTATGGCATTAAGCTGTCCTTAACTGCAAATTTTCACTCTGATAATTTTTGCTTAATCTTCGGCAGAAAAAATTTTGAGTTTTTTCTCAAAAGGTGAATTTGCTGGCAGTGATGTGGAGATGGGTAAAGGGTAACAATAAACTTGCATAGTTTGAAGTCTGAGCTTTTCTACATCTATGAACTGTCACTTGTAGTACCAAATTTCTAACTTAACTCATTACATAGAGGTTTGAATGGGGGTATCTAGGGGGGTCTATGCCTGACAACTTGGTAGAAATTTTTAAAGACTATATCTGTTTTTGAATAGCATTATTGTAAAATAAATTTTACGTTCCTAGACATGCTAATCATTCATATATTTGGCATGATAACGAGGCTAGATATTTGGCAAAACATTCAAGTATTGTTCACTTCATTTTTTTTTTTGAAAAAACGAAAGCAAAATGTGTTGTTTTTACGCAAAAACGATGCCCACAAAATACATTTTGTGTTGCTCTAAAACGCTGAAAACGGCATTTTCAAGTCTCTGAAATTCAAAATTTCTCAGGGGAGAATGCCTCAGTTCCCCCCCAGGTGCGGAACGCCTCCGACGTTTTATGACTGATGTTTGAAAAATCCTAGATCCGCCCCTGGTTTATCCAGTCTTATTTGTTCTTTAATCGCTTGCTAGACGAGGCAAAGCAACCAATTCTTATCGAGATATGCATATCTTAAAACTCCTTGTTTCAACTGAGTTGAAATGGAGGATTTTTCATGATATTTTTCTGAAAATATGAAGCAAATATTAAGAACAGAGCTGTATTGAAATCAAATGCTGTGCAGGATTAATTAATGAACTCTTTGGTACATGTCGTACAATCAAAAATACCTGTATTAAACAGCTAGCCTGAACAATTTGACAGATTTGGACAATCATGATGATGGTGTGTAAAGGTTTGCTTTATGCTAAGAGTTTTATAAATGCCATCTGGTGTTTCTGTAAATGGATTGTTATACAGTGTAGTAAACAGGTTAGTACATCAAAATCAAGATAAAAACTACTTTGTTCAATAATGTGCCAAATTTTGCTCCTACCTTGAAAGATTTGCTCAAGAAAAGCTTATTAGTGGAATAATTACCAGGTGCAAACGTTGAAATCTAACGTTGAGACAACGTTGTAATTTACGTTAATTAAACGTTGGAATTAAACGAAGATATGATCTTCGCACTTTGCTGGACAATGGAACGTTGGAGAACGTAATTAAACGTTAATTGTAATTTACGTTAATTAAACGTTTTTGTGGACTCGTAGGAACGTAAATGCAACGTGGGAACCGACGTTAATAACAATGTTGTAGAGACATTATTTTAACGTAACGTGATAAGGAAATGATAGATCTAACACTAAGAAGGTTTCGGCAATTAACATTAAAAAAGCATTATTTTGTAGTTTTATCATGACTTTTTATCATATAGCGTTAGCAAGGCAAAGAATATATAACATGTAGCACAAAAACTACTGTAAACAATGATGTATACATATATGTTTGTAAATGATGATCGCCCAGGTTAATAAAGTCCTGAGAAGGACTGTTTTTGTTGTTGTTGACTGACGTTTCGACAACCTTAGCGGTAGTCATCTTCAGAGTCAAATGAGGAGTAAACGTCAGGTTAGCCGTATTTGTTATCTAGTTCTTACGTCATTGTATTGTGTGTACAGGAAATGTGTATTGTCATTGTGGATTAGTGTAAAGTGAATTTTTTTTATTTTTAGTTGTGATGTGTGATTTAGGTGTGATGGTTTTTAGTTGTAATGTGTGGGTGTCAATTGTGTATTGTCGTTGTGAATTAGTGTGAAGTGTAATGTTTTTAGTTGATCGTTTGTTTGTATTGTGAATAAGTCGTTTGTAAGGTGCCGGTAATTGCTGTGATCTGTTCAGGGGTTTGTTCCAAGTTGGTATACCAACTCTAATGTAAACCGTTGTCTATAGCTCAGTACTGTGGGTAATGCATTTTGCGAATCCCAGTCAATGTTGTGCTTTTGTGATTCGGTGATGTTCGGCAATAATGATTAGTTTTTGATGTTTTTAGTAGTAGCTCGTTTGTGTTCAGTAAAGTCTTATGTTTAAGTTTTCGCCAGTTTCCCCGATATATGACGTGGCAGTCGAACAGTTTTTTTCAGTAAACTGCACCTTGTCGTTCGTTGGGTTGTTCTTGTCCTTTATGTTCGTTAGTATTTTGTCGTAACGTTGTGATTGGTTTATGGGCGACACGTACGTTGTATGGTCGTAAGATACTTGAGATAGTCTCAGATGATACCTTTGATGTAAGGTATCGTTGCTGTTGTCTCACTCGAGTTATTCGTTTTGCTGTTCGTTGGGTTTGTAAGAATTGTTGCATCGATAAAGTCAGAGTTAAGTTGTTTTTGTCAAAAACACGTTTGAGATAGTTGCGTTTTGTAGAGCGTCCTGTGAATCACATATGGTTGTGCGTCTTTATTAATGTTCTGATTAAAGTGGCGCATGTGATGTAGGGTTGTAAGATGATTGGTCTAGTAGTCGGTCAGTATGTGTTGGCTTGCGATAAACTGTTGTTCATGGTTTTTGGTTGTCATAACGCAAACAGTCGAGGGAAAGGAAGAGTTCCGTTTTCTTCGACATCTTTGAAATAAATTGTATGTAGTTGTTCTGTTTGTTGATGTGAGTATGAAAGTCATCAATGTCGTCTGCATGATGCCGTGATTGTGTCATCACCGTAGCGAAACCAAAACGGTAGTGCATGTTTGTAAGTCGTGAGCGCCCGTTCCTCTATAGATTGCATTACAATTTCAGCAACTTCAACAGAAACGGGCAGGCACATTGCTGTCCCATGTAATTGTTTGTAGTGTTTTCCTTTGTATTGGAAGTAAGTCGAGGTGAGGCAGAGCTCCAGTAGCTCCATAATGTCTTCTGTCAGTGTGGCAGTACGTCCGTGGTGTTTGTATTAGAGGTATTTGTACTAGTAAGTGCCAGATTAAGTGGATACTGGTGAATAGTGATTTCCACATCAAAAGACACTAGTGTATATTGTCCGTATTTGTATAGTGCAGCTTTTTTAATGAAAGTTTCAGTGGATTGTGGCTTGTGTTTTGTTGTTTTGTTAGTGGTTTGCAGTATGTGCAGTCAAATTATGAAAGTTCGTAAGCAGGCGAACCACAGATAATACAATTGGTCGCATGGGTATTTGTGGTTTGTGAAGTTTTGAGTGAGTCCGTATAGTCTGGGTGGTCGTGGTACTGAACATCTGAGTCGATAGTAAATACGTTCAGATATAATGTTAGATTTTTCTC